GAAATAGAGTTTTTTGTGGACGTAACCCTCACGGACTATCCCGAGAATGGCGTATTGGTTGAGTATTGGCATCTAATTGAATATGAATATTGTGAAATCTGACTCAAGACATCCCCTGCAGAATCACAAAATTCGCGTGGAGGAGGCATCGCTGAGCGAGTACATGGAAATCGATGTGGAGCTGCAGCGTCCGTGTCCATGCGAGGAGCCAGCCGAGCCGGATGATGAATACGGCCGCTTTCAGTGCGTCAATCAGGGCTATTTGAACTGCGGCATGTGCATCTGTGACGAGGGCTGGACGGGCACCTTTTGTAACTGTCCGACGGATCCGTCGAACGCGACAACTACCGAGGCGCTGCTCAGGACCTGTCGTCAGCCCCTCGACAAGGAGGACAACAGCCTGGCCACTGAAGTCTGTTCGAATCACGGCGACTGCGAGTGCGGCAGCTGCCTTTGTGATCCCGGCTATACGGGCAACTTCTGCGAGTGCCTCGAGTGCATCGATTGCGATGAGGAGCGCGCCGAGTGCTACTGCGGTCAGTGCGTCTGCAAATACGGCTGGTCGGGCACGCAGTGCAACTGCAAGGATTCGACGGACGAGTGCACCGGACCGACGGGGGAGATCTGCTCTGGTCGTGGCAGCTGCGACTGCGGCGTCTGCAAGTGCCGGGAGCCGTACCTGGGCGAGTTCTGTGAGATCGATGCCGAGAAGGACAATAAGCTGTGCCAGTTCTACGAGCCCTGCGTCATCTGCCTTATCGCACAGAAGCAACATATGGGCTCCTGCGAGAATGTGAACGAGATTTGCTTCAGTGCCCAGTACAACGAGCGCTTTACCCATCTATTTGTCAATGAGCTGGAAGCGGAGACTGTCTGCCTGGTGCGCATCGTCAACAAGAATGGCATCCAGTGCGATAGCTACTTCAGCTATCAGGTGGTCGATCATGCCAACTACCTGGCCATACAGGCCAACGACTGCGAACCCGTCAACATATACGCCATGTTTGGCTATATATCCTTGATAACGGTGCTGTTGGGTCTGGTCATCATTGCCCTGATCTGGTGGTGTCTGCGCCTGAAGGACGCCCGGGAGTATGCACGCTTCGATCAGGAGCAGAGGAACAACGCTCGCCAGGAGAATCCCATCTACAGAGATCCAATCAAACGTTACGAAGTGCCCAGAGCTCTAAGCATTGAAACTAACACGGACAATCCATTTGCCGACTAATACGTAACAGTAAACAGCACTTAACTAGTATTAAGCTACATAAGTTACATAAAGAGGGTCAACACGTACCAAAGGTTCACCAAAGGGCCTTAAAATTGCCGTAAACAAAAGTATTCACTTTTTCTTTTCAATAATTTTTCTAAATATTTTATAATTTATGATAGGTATCCTTGCCTAAATAACTTTAATCAGTCAACCAATATGTGAAATATCTTTAAAATTTTATATAAATACATTTTTAAAAGTCAAAGAAAACTTCAATTTTTTTTTATTTTTTTATTTTCAAAAAGTTTTTCTAATATTTATATTTTCTATCTATTTAATCGTGTATTATATTTAATAATACTTTTGTAGTTATCAAATAACTTTGTGCCAAATATAAAAAATATGTATGCAAATTAATATGTAAACGACAAATTTATATATTTATATATTCATTTTTTTTAATGAACAAATTTAAATGTTTTTTAAATAATTATTTTGAATCAAGAAAATATGTTTGAATTAAATCCTTTAATCAACATATAATTAAAATATTTTCAAACAAGCGAACTTTAATTTTTTATTTATTCTATAAGTAAAACAAATATATTTTTTAAAATTATAATATGCATATATCTATTTATCATATTTTAACTTTTCCTGCTTTAATATTTTGATATTATTATTCTATAATAAAAACGCATTTTTCTTTTTTGTTTTTAATATTCGTATATTTGTTTTTGCTTTTTTTAATATGTATATATATTTATAATTATTTGTATTCATTCGATAAATTATTTGTATAATTGTATTAACTAAATATTCGATGCACACAAAATGGTATTAGCTAATTAACATGGAAACTTTTTAAACTTGTATTGGTATATATTATTTCTGTTTTGCTCTCGACAAAGTTATTATTTGCCTAACTACGTTTTAGCGGAATTAGTATTAAAAATAGCGCTAATTAAGATTTATGAAAAAATATATATTTTATGTATAAAGTTGCTTATAAGTGAAAAATTTACCTACGGCATAAGTCGATTGAAGAAATCACGCGGCCTACGCTAGCAAAAATTGGTATAAAATTATTGAACCCGATGCAAGTACGGATTGAACTAGTTTAAGTTTAAGAAAAACTACAACCGAAGGGAAATGCTTTCAAGAACCTGACTGCTGACTACACTCGTTCGCCTCCATCCTTCTTACTCTGTACGAAAATACGAATCAGCATTTAAAGAACTAATCGTATCTGAGGGCCCCGTGGGAGGCCGTCATAACTAAATGTAATATCACTAGACTCGTAGCTTAAAATTACTAAACGTGCTCCTGACCACAAATCCATCCGCAAAGCTACCGCGGACGTTCGCTTGGCCAACAAAATAAAAAAAAAAAAAACGAAAAGGGAGAGAGTAATGTAAAACAAGAGAGAGAAAGGGAGAGAGAGAGAGAGAGAAAATTGCCAAAAACACAAATTCAATTACACACATAACTCGTAAAATGCAAAAGCAACAAATACGCGCAGGCAAGGGCGAAGCCGGCAGGCGGCGCTCCTCAGAGCACCCGCTCCCCCAATGACGGTGTCCGTTGGATGAGCATCGAGGGTGATTTGGCTGGCAGCGCGGCACTGGCGCTGCTCAACTGAGCATCAATGGCAGCCATGTCCGCGGCGGTGGATGAGGATATGATGTTGCCATTCGCCTTGCCAGGGCTCGTGGTGGTGGTGGTGTTGTTGTTGTTGTTGTTGCTGCTGCTAGTACTGCTGGTGCTGGGCAGGCCATGGGGCGAGGCGTCGGGCACCAGGCGACGCAACAAGCCGCTCACACAACCCCAAGGGAAGGTCCTGTGAATAGGCAAAAAGAAGAAGAAGAAAAAACACCCACAGAAATGAGACACAACATAGTAGAAGGTAAAGGTAAATGTTATGCATTATTAAAGTGAAACACATTAAAGCGACGCCATTAGCCATGCACCATGGCTGGGGGGTTTCAAAGATCTGGGCAATAGAGTGGGATTTATTTCCATATATTTCAGTTTCACTGATTTCCGAAATGGATAATAATTCACTGTTGGAATAGTCATGCGAAGGGCAAGCGAAGGGAATGGAAATGCACACAGTTCAAATTATTAGACAATAACTTTTAATCGACATTTCCAGGGGTGGTTCCTGATCGAAACTTTAATGGCATTTCTGGCACTAATACTGTGTGTAATATATAAATCAGAAATGTCATATGCAGACATATACAAATATATGTATATATATAAGCTATTCTATTTGCTTTCATGCTTCTAATTGAAATCAAAGAATTTCATATCAGGTTATCTTATGTTATAAATAGAGTTTGTTAAAATAGTTTTGGGAGCATTATATGTAAAATAATATTCGAATTTATAATGATTGGTCTTTGACTTAAGATTTTATTAAGTTAACTTTAAACTTAGTTATCTTAGATTATTATTATTTTTTTTTTTTTTTGTATTTTATGCAATACATATTGATTATCTGAACAGTATTTTTTTTTTTAAATAAATCTAGTATATAATACTATATTCCCTACTATAAATTACTATTAAAACTTTTAAATAAAGCACCTTTAATTCAAAATTATATCAAGTATTTCTCTATATGATTATATTATTAAATATTTGATAGTTATATGCCCTTCTCAATTCTTTGAATCAATTTCATAATAATTACTATTATTTAAATATTTAAGAACATGCTCAAATTCCTATTCTATATGGCAGCTGAGAAGAATTTAGTCGCATTTACTAAGGTAAACATGAGTGTTTGTAGCCTCATTAAGACATTTCGTTTTGGGTCGTGTGTTTACTTACCACTTGAGGGACAGCATGAACTTGAGGAAACCGGGAATGATGGCCAGCTTCTCGTTCTTCCTAATGGCCGAGATGACGCGATCGGCCACATCGTTGGGATTCAATGTGGGCACCCATCTGCAATGCAGAACAGTTTAGCTGTCAGTATATTACCGCACCGGCCACGCCCATTAATGCGCTCACCTGGCATTCACATCGTCAAACATGCCCGTTGCCTGTATGAAGAACGGGCAAATGCAGGTGGTTTGTATGTTCGTATGTCCGAGAACTTCCAGCTCCAGACGCAGCGCCTCATCGAAGCCAACCTGTAATTATGCCGTGCACAAGTTTGTTGTCAAAAAGAGATTCTCCAGCAATTTGCATGCACAGCTAACGAATATACTAACCGCTGCAAATTTGCTGGCACAGTAATCGACCAATTTGCTAATGCCAACATGGCCAGCCAGAGAGGCGATCGTCACGATATGTCCACGTTCCTTCTCGATCATTTTGGGCAGAAACGCTTTTGCGGTCTGTGCAATGACAACGAGTCATTATTATAGCAAGTGTATATAAGTGAGTGAGTGTGTGTGTGTGTGTGTGTGTCTGTGTTAGCTCAACTTACCCAAAAGTGTGCCATAACATTCACATTGAACGAGCGCTCGATCAGATGGTCCGGCGTTTCCAGCAGATGCAGTCCAGACACAACTCCAGCATTGTTAATCAGCAAAGTAACCTGCGGAGGGGGAAATCAAATAAAAAAAACGTTTTAATGGATTGTCGTAAAGATTTACTCGGCTTCTGTTTAGCAATTTTCGTGTCTGCCAATAAAATCTGAAAGGCATTTAAATATATAGTATTGTTTCGTAAATTTACATGTGCAGCTAAATTGCGTAACAAATTAAATAATTCTCAACTTGTTTGCGGCTGGCCGGCCACTTGGCCATAACACGTGTTCGATTCTCGTTTGTGGTCTTAGCACTAAAGGCGGCAAAGCAATTTCAGGTAATTGTAACAAGTTTGCAATGAGAAAA